CTGGATGTGTTCTATCAGCGATTCTGTCAACGTTTTTCACACTCCATACGGCAAGATGTCGCTACTAATCCTAAAGAACTTTTGCAGTTTTTAAAACTCAATCGGGGATTATTCTTCATTAGGAGTAACAAGGTGAGTTCAGTGCATTTTATTTTTTGTGATCTCACCATAGTTAGCAATCAAAGTAGTGCTGTGCTTGTGAACCTTAGAAAGACAAGACATGCTTTTAATATTATTTAGATTGAGTTTTTGTCCGTACTTATGATGTATTTTCTAAAATTTTCTTTCATTTTGACCGTTGAGAACTTAGTTCATTGATTTTAATATTTGCTCTAAAATTTCATCTTCATTATCCTTATAGTTGAAATCACTGCTTGTACAAAATACTGGCATTATTTTCATCTTTCTCGAATTTGTTTCTAGTTGAGAATTTTCTTATACTTTTTTAAAAGTGATTCATCCATGCGTGGCTTGCAAGTTACGTTTCTAGCCTTCTTATATTTGTCTGTTGCATCCCTGCTTATGAGACTCGTTGCATATCATAACAGTGAAACATTTTGCATCTTAAGGTGACTCTTGTGAAGAATAGACCATCCGAGGACGGAAGTGAAAATGGTTCGGATGAAGGCGACCTGGAGAGTAATAACAACAGTGTATTCCCCCTGGATCAGAATGCTCTGGCACGAATTCATTTTGTGAAAGCCCTAAAACCTGCTCAGGTACAGTTACTCTCAGTAATTCATTTCTTCTTATCAAAGCAGTGATTTGGATTTGCGAGTCTGCTTGCATTGAATGTTGGTTTTTGCTTTAAGGAGTTGGTTGAGCGATTGTGGCAGGACATCAATACCCAAGAGAAAAAAGTAGTAGGCTTAGACTTCAAAACAGTTACTGTGGGTATCGATGGCGAGCTGTTCCTATCTTTGTGTAGGTTGATTTTTTTTCTAGAAAAAATCGACTTTTTGCTTTTCTCTCTCAAGTGCGAGTAACTTTCATCAAGTTGTAAATTTGAGCACAGAGCAGTTCTCCATATAGGATTCATGTCGTTTAGGTGTTGTCGCCACTCAATCCCAGATCGGTGTGTTTGACCTCGCCTCAAGTGATGTAATTATCATGGAAAGCGGTCTTAGGGATATACTGGAAAGCGACAAGGTCACAAAGGTAAATTGGACTAAGTTGTTAGGACTGCCAGCTTTACCTATGGAGAGTGAATTTGAGATCCCCATACATACCATTTCTAACAAAGTGGTTTCAGCCGAAAGTATATAAGCTTAATGTTGCATTTTGTCGTCTATAATAACATTACATTAATTTAAAACAGGTGAATTATGTTTGCTGCACAAGTGAGAAACTGTATAACATTGACATTACGTGCATATTGAAGTTAAAAATATGCGAAAGTAATAATGTGCCGGGATTTGGTAGTTTCTGGGCAGTATCTGGTGACCTATTGGTTT